TTGGTCATTGTGTCCGCCTTGTCTCCCTTCTGTCTCCCTTTGTCTCCAGTCTTGTCTCCCTTCTTGTTGGTCCTCTGTCCGTCTTGCCTCCCTTCTGTACGTAGTGGTGTTTTCGGCCATGTCAACCTCAAAAACTTCTTTCCTTCTTTCTGGCGTATGCTTTTCGGGTTTTTGCTTTCCCTACATCATTTTTCCTCCCCGTCAGCCCCCGCACATCAATACAGAGCAGATCACCCCTCATCATGGCCCCTCTGGCCCCTTCTCAACTCTTCCACGGTCGCCCCCTCCGCACATCAGGAGCGAATCAGTCCGAGCGTCGCTCAAGCTGCAATTGCAGCTCCCGCTCACGGTATTTGTTCCATTCTCTCACGCAATAATGCCGTTCAATGCGCGCCACCTCCGGCTCCTCCATCGCACGCTTTGGGGGCCGACACCCTGACGTTTCCTGACCCAATGGGCTGCAGTCACTCGTGTGAGATGTCTGACCGCAGATGCTCTTGTTCAAGGCGCAGATGTCACCATGTTTTCCGCCTCTGCCTTGCAATCCTTCACATGTGCCTCCCAACTCTGGACTCGTCTCCGCCTCTCGCTTGCAACCCTTCACATTTGTCTCGCTCTGGATTACTCTGCCCTGCAATCCTTCACATTTGTCTCCCAGCTGTGGGCTGCGTGTCGCTTGCAATCCGTTACATTTGTCTCCCAGCTCTGGGCTGCTGTGTCCGCCTCTGCCTTGCAATCCTTAAGTTTACATTTGTCTCCCATCTCTGACTGCTGTGTCTGCCTCTGCCTTGCAATCCTTCACGGTCCTTCACATTTGTCCTTGCAATCCTTTGCATGTGTCTCCCAGCTCTAGATTGCTGTATCCACCTCTGCCTTGCAATCCTTTATTTGTCTCCCAGGTTTGGACTGCATGTCGCTTGCAATCCTTTACATTTGCCTCCCAGCTCTGGGCTCCTGTGTCCACCTCTGCCTTGCAATCCCTTGTCTCCCAGCTCTCGACTGCTATTTCCGCCTTTGCCTTGCATTCCTTTGTCTCCCAGCTCTGGACGTTGAAAACTCTAGTTGCAGAGCGATATTGAAAAACACAAACTGTTTGGGGTCTATGGTGGTGTAATTGCAAGAAAAGTTTTGTCAAAGGATTGAAGATTGACCAAATTGACCAAAATGCAAAGTTTGGTCAGGATGAAATTGCCTTATTAAGAGATCTATAGAGATCTTCTTTTTGGCCACCGTCACTGCAGCGCTGCAGACGTTTGGTCAGGATCACTGTTACACAGCCGGTGGCACGGTGGTCACTGTTGACAAATAGCAAAGGAACACCGACCACTTGGAAATGGGCAAAAGCTAGTAGTAACAGGTGCCACGCTAGTAGTAACAGGTGCCTTACTAGTAGTAACAATGTTTGCTACTAGAATTCTGTACCCAAAGGCTCATTGGACCCAACCCGTTCGCTTGGTTTTGGACCGAAGCAACATGTAGCAGTTGGTTCAGGGAAAAAGGGTCGCGTCTGGGTACAAGAACAACACCTTCCAAGTTTTCCCACATGTGTTTCGTGTGACTTTCTGATTGTCCGTCGGATTCTGAGGCCAAACCGACCGTCTCACGCCGATCGTGCGGACTTCCGACTTCGACGGGTGTCCCAGGCCACTGACTGCTCCAAACTGAGAATGGAAGACCGAGTTGAGGCCTGGCGCAGCGGCTGAAAGCGCTGCGGAGCTTGGAAGGCGCGACCTGTGTATGGAAATCTGATGTCTGCAGATCGAGTTGATGGTCCAAGCAGAAAACAGTTCGGGTGGTTCCAAGATGGCGCCATCTTGAGATCCCTTTACACCGGGCCGGGGAAACATCCAGATCCGTTTTTCGGGTTAGGGTGAACAAAGAGATCGGCAAAGCGATGAACTTGGGCGAAGCTTACTGTCCACCTGACCCTCCAAAGTACCGTAGATGGGACATGAACTATCTTTAAAACATGGGACTTGTGTACCCATTTTCGAGGTACTTTGAGACTCCAGGCACTCTGAACTGTGCGATTCTTTTGCGTTGCACCTCTGTCACTGATTGTCTGCAGGTGTTTCGTAAGACTTGCGCTCTGGGATTGGTCATCAATCCAAGCGAATGGTCATCTGCGGGACAGTCGAGTCGCAAATCTCGGTGATAGCGTCCGAACCCTGATGCCGAACTCAAAAGATCTCCAACGACCCTCCCGCCGCGGAGTTCGCGAACCGTGGCAGACCGATACCGCGACTCAGTCGTTGCCCAACCGTTGGCAGACCGATACCACGTAGATACCGAAACCGATAGCGCTATCGAACCGGAAGAGAAATGAACTAAGAATCCGCAAATGAACTAAGGGCCCTCAAATCAAATAGGCCTCTGGATTCTTGAATAAGGTTTGAAGACTTCGAAAACGAAGCAAGAAACTGAGGCCATCGCTACGATCGGTGGGAGGCCATCGCTTTGTTTTCTTGACGATCGGAGCACGCAGCACGTCGCTTTCTTTCTCGGCGGAGTTTCGACGTGACGCACGAAACACGCGCTGCTGGAGAACCTGTGCGGTACGGCCAGGCTTTGGTTTTTGGATGTCAGGGTCAATGTAGCTATATCCCATACTGATACCGGTACCCTATTTCAGGGATATAGAAAATATACATATGCCCATACCATCATATTCCAGTGCACATGGAATCTTTGGGATCGGTAATCCCCATCAATGACAGTGACATTCAATAATTGTCTGCAACTTGCAACTCAATGGTACGTCCCAAGTCAGTAGGTCAGTGGAAACAGGTGGGGTCACGATCAACGACTAGTGAAGGTTGCGGAGGAACCCCTGACGGAAAATACGAACGATGAACTTGATATGATGACTCTGATGACTCTTGAAATCCCAACGCCCACCGCCGTAACCCACAGCTTCGCCCTTTGCCCCCCTCTCCAAAAACGACCGGGGTCGTCATATGGCGCCTTCTTGCTGGAGCCTAGCGGTGGTGGATGAGGGATGAGGGATGAGGGATCTGCTTTCCCATCACTGGGTGGTGAAACATGAACACCAGTCACCAAACACGACGTGTCTGGGACTGCCTACAACTATGCCGCCCCATGGACCCCTGAAATCAACCACCCCAATATAAATATGCCAGTGGTATGGAGAGTCTGGGAGTGTGTGCTCCAGTTTCTTGGACATAACCTTTCTTCGTCCGGAAAAAAGACATTTTTACAAAAATTGGACACGCGCATCGCCCCTAAGTTTGGGCGCCCCCGAAACGTTGCGGAGCCTTCTAGAGGCATTCTTCAAGAGATCTGTAATACATTCTAGTAATTTTAATGAGACGTTGATCATGTTCTGTTTTCATGATGTTCACTTTGCTGTGTGCCTGGGGTGCTTGTGGTCCCTGGCACCGTTTTCATGAATTGAACCCCTTTGTTTGCAAAGTTCAATTCTTTCAAGGAATACCGAAAAAGTAAAAAGGCTACAACATGCTACAATGCTAAATTGAAAGGGCAAAGGATGCCCCAACCCCTCACAGCCGACTCATAGCCTGTATCCCTACCCAATGAATCTTGCAGTTGATTCCTGTCTTTTGCCCCGGCTATTAGGTTGGCGGCCAGCACTACTAGGTTGGAGGCCATCGCTAGTAGGTTGAGGCCATCGCTCGCAGGTTGGAGGCTATCGTCAGTAGATTGGAGACCATCGCTAGTCGGTTGGAGGACATCGCTCGTAGGTCGGAGGCTATCGCTAGTAGGCTGCAGAAGAAGATTGTTCATTTTTTGCATCCTTCTTTCAATTCCAATTAAAGTTAAATTGATTCTAATTCTAATTCGATCTATTGAATTCTTGTTTCAAATAGCTTCTTGTTCCGTTCGTAGTACAGCCAGTTTCGCCCCGTTCGTAGCTTCCGATCGCTCCGTTCGTAGCGATGCCAGTTTCGCCCCCCGGTTCGTAGCGTCCGATCGCTCCTACCCCGATCGTCCGATCGCCAATCCGTTCTTCACATGCCATGACCGGTCACCGCCACCTTTTCTCTGCGAAGCACAAGTTGACGAGTCGACACAGCAAAGACCTAGGGGCACATCTCACAATGAGGATGTACAACAGATCTTTGATTGATCACCCCCCCAAAAATGGGTTGTAGGATCTCTTAGCTTCATATACATATCTTCAATGTTAATCAATCGTCTTATAATGTATATCAAACCACACACACAACGTTTTTGATAGAGAATCCAATCCCCACACATTCCGTTCTCCACCTCCTCGACGTGATGAGTCTGTTCACCCGGACAGCCCAGCCGAACCTCAACGAACGTAGGCGCCAAGTTACGTCGGGTCCGTACCGAACCTGAGAAGGTAGCAATATGTAGCAATGGATCCCTGCCTATGGTGGCGAGTATTGGTGAGGGGCCTGTTGGTAGGGGCTCATTCCTTTTCCCTTGAAAGTAAACCATTGGTGATCATTGGTGTACGTCTATGCATCAGTCTCATCCCTTGTCTGATCCCATGCAATGACGAATGGGCCCCCGCTTGTTGAGACAAATCTATTAAGACTCGTAGTGAGCAAACGGTGCACAGCTCAGCTTTTCAGCTGATATGTCCCAACCGAGCAAGAGCACGCATCCGCCGATCCGCCTGGATCCCCCGCGTCTAATGGGACGGCTTTTAATTTTGCATACCAGGATCATCCTGTCTGGGTTTCCTGGCGTTCGACTACCCTACCCTACGTAAACTTTAACAGGTCTCCAGACGGCACCCGGACAGGAAGTGCTAGGTACATGATGGTACATGAAGGGGTGGTTGATTTCGGGCGCATGGGGCGGCATTGGCCTGTCTGGAATAGAGATTTTCGGGTGTCCGACAGTGTCGCGGTAGGCGTGTCCGGCGGACGCGAAATGGGCGAAAAACCGACAATATTCCGGAATATTCCGGATACTCCTGAGATGTCCTGAGATTCATTTTCAGGGCAGAGCTCTGCCCAGAATGAACGCAGCAGCATACGTGTGTTGCACGTGGTGCGCTGCTCCGACATGGGTGTAGGCAATCGTTCTGAACACATCAGATTGAATCACAATCATTGTTGCTGTGCTTGAGACCCTTTGGACAAGTTTGGAGGCTGCTTTTACTTTTCACTGGATGTACACATGGACAAACCCGTGCAAAAACTCTCAGAATACTTCCAGTCGAGTACTGGGCCTGGGGCACCCATGGTGGACTAGCGCATGAGATGCTGCACGCAGAAACCCATTCGAGTTAGGACTTCAAAACCCAACCCGTACAAACCAAGTTGGTGCATTAACCACCACAATAAATTTCTGTCGCTTTGGTTCATCTCAGAGTGATCACAGCTCAAAGACCGACTCTTCATCTTCATCCTTCGCTTCGAAGTCCTCCGTGTTCGCTGTGCCATGCGTGGAGAGCTCCAGGATTGGCCCCAAAGCTGCCAAGCCGTGCCGTGCCGATGGTCCCGCTCTGGATCCCTCCAACTGCGCGGCGGCCGTGTGGCCCTCGGCACCCTCGCCGTAGGCCTCGACGTGGGCGACGTGGGCACCACGTGGACTGCCCTGGGAGCAGAAGAGTGCACAAAGGCAGGCAATCAGCAGCGAGACCGGCAGAATGGGAAGCAAGTTGTCCTCCGCGGTGTTGCGCACGCACGAGGCAAAGCCGGTCCAGAAGATGGTCACGGCCAAAATGGCCACTTGCGACAGGACAATTGAAAGGCAAATCTTGGACACATAGGGCGTCCATCGCTGTCCAAGCTTGCAGAGTTTCAAGTTCAATCGGGTGGCAAAAATCCCCAGGAGGGACAGAAAGAAGACTTCCGAAAGCAAACGCATGGCCCAGATCACTGCCAGATATCCAGACATGTTCTCAGGTGGATGTGCGATCTTTGTGAGCACCGGGGACAAGAAGGGGACTTCACCTTAGAGAGAGAGAGAGAGAGACTCCTCGCGAAAAATCGGCTTTCGGAGTGTTTTTCAAGGGGGTCGGGGTAGCGTATGTCATTGCTCGATTCGAAGTGTGTCATTGCTCGATTGACGATTCGAGGGTGGAAGATCTGTGACTTCATGAGTCGAGCTCTAAGACTTATACCCAAACACTCCATGGGACTGCCATAGGACTGCCGATCAATTGGGGTTGACTGGGGGTCTGTCTGGGGCGGCAGTCCTATGGCAGTCCCAGATGGCCACATATCCCGGTGCCGGTGAACCGAACGGAGGACCGGGCGCCTGCCCGTCGGATGGGACGAGCCCGTCACCACCGTCGGATGATCCGATGGAACCGTGTCTGGGCGGATGTCCGGCATCGAACGCCACCGGATTTCGGGGCGCCGAAAGAAAACCGCGGGAAAAGCCCTAAGCCAGGAGTCACAAAGGGGTGCCTATTGGAGGATAGGGGTGCCCAATATCCACTCACTTGGGGACTGCAAAGCACCCCTTTGTGACTCCTGGAGCAGAAACAGTTCTGGACGCAACTCGGAGGGATCGGACCCTTGTGGAGGAGGGATCCGTCAGAGGGGCCGGGAATCCACTCAACGGAGCGTCGTCGGCTCGGTCGAGGTCGAGGAGAAGTTCGTCCTGAAGGGGTTCGGGAGACCGAAGGAAGAGGCTGGATGGTCGACCCGGGAATAGACCTCGGAAAAATGAAGTATATGGATGGTAGCCACAAGTAATTACCCATATTTTGGGGTTCCGGTCATGGCCCATTTTCTGAGGTACGAACGAAGTCGGGTCCAGGGTGGAGGCGATCGCTTCTAGGTTGGAGGCCATCGTTACTAGGTGGGAGGCCATCACTATTAGGTTCCTTATGTCTGCCAGTATATTTACCCTGACGGTCCAGGGCTGAAGGCTGAAGATCACTCAGAGCAAAGGATCGGAAGAAGGGAGACGGAGCTTCGGCCACGCCCGACTCGGCCGACCTTCCGCCACGCCTCTTTGCTTCAAGTGACAAATGCCGACCATATACCAAGTGTACTTGAGGGGGAGGGCATCGCCACCCACTGTTTGCAGAATGATGGGCGCCAACCTGTCTCGCACCATTTGGTTGAATTCCTCCAAGTGGGAATCAGCCTTGCCGTCTCGTCCAAACCATGAAGAGAGCGCAGAGAACCTCAAGCCGTTCATTGGATCCGGAACACACGTCCCGGTCCGACCGCCCGACCGTGCGAACGACACCGACGGGGCGACGGAGCGGGAGGAACGAAGCCCCAGGGATCCACAGACCGAACCTTAGGTTCGGTACGACTGGACCCGACGTTTTGGCACCTACATAGTGTCGAACACTCCAGTCGTACCTTCTCGGTTCGGTACGACTGGATCCCGGTATCGGGTGAATTGAGGAACCGATATCGGGATAGATAGAGTCTCCCCAGGTGTTCCGGGTCCTTTTTCAGGTCACGTCTCCACCTCTCTGGACACAAGACCGGGTTTTTGAGTAGAGCAGACCCGTCCGCCGAAAAGAAGAGCGTTTCACCAATGCCAAACACATTTAAATGGGATGATTCATGTGTAACATGATCTGGCTTTGCTGCGTTTCAACGAAATGGCTTTGCTGCGTTTCTTCGTGCACGTAAAAAAGGAGTCAAGGTTAGGCAAGGTTGTGCCAGCACTTCGATTCAACAGGCTTTCAGCAGTACAAATCTCTTTCAGCATTTGAGTGGCGAACGAGCACAAGACGTTCCTGAAGAACAGTGCTGAAGTGACTCGTTCACTCTGACTCACTAACATGGCAGTGGAGTTCACCCCCTGTTTGGTATTCGGATTGATCGATGTTCTGGTCATCCTTCCGGTTCCATGCTGGCTCCACTTCCATGTGTTTGTCAGAGTGCAGGGTGTATGGTGTTACGTCCTGCGATACATCAAGCAGATGGGTCTGCTGGCTAACTTGCTGTGAAGGTTTGGGTCTCCAAGATTGTGTCTCTGACTCTGGACAATGCTTGCTGCTTAGGAGCAACAAAAATCGTTTGTTCAAGCATACACCTGGAAC